AACGTCTACACCCCGGGGGAACGGCCGATATCACGTGGTCACTGAGAATATCCCAAATGGCGGCTCTACGATCCATACCGGCTGCCAGTTTGTAACATAGAGTGAAGTACTAGTGTAAACATGTAATGAACAGCGTCAGTGACTGTTAGTGCTTGTGTTAGTTGGTGACTTTTTAGTATACCCCTGTTAAAGGGATACAAGAAACCACAAGGAATATAATTTTATGCCACCTTACTCATTCGACTCTTACTGATGTTTTGTTTATTTTTTTAAAAATCTGACCACCGGTAAGCTATAGGGTAGGCCATAGGGTAGGCCACAGGGTAGGCCATGGCCTACCCCACGTTTTGTCCACACCCGCCTAAGTGCCTAATTAAACATTAAACCGCCAATGACGGGAAGGACACCCTGGGGACGAGTTTTTGTAAAAAAAAAATGGCGGCTATCGCTCGAATTTACAACGCTTCATCCCCGTGCGCATAAATAGTTATTATTTTCTTTATAATTGGTAAAATCACAAAATTTGGGGTGGGCTATAGTGTAGACCATAGGGTACGCCACAGGGTGGGCCACAGCCCAGGCCATAGCCTAGCCCAGGTTTTGTACACACCCGTCAAGCTGGGTGATACGGTGTCTATTAAGTGACTCTCAGTCAATGTTAGCATCCCTTCGGAGACAAAATTCTTGCTCGTGGCCAACAGTCTACGTATCACCGCTACTAAGACCAGGATATGGACGTTTTGATGATATCACAGGCCCCTATGAAGAACTGTACAATTAATACTAACACTCTGGCCCTTTCTCGGACTACATGTCCGACACTTTTGGCACTATTTATACTTCTTTGCAGACAATAACCTTCTAGTCTACACACTAACTTCAGCCAAACTGTCTACAGCCGGACACCAGTGGGTTTCACAGTTGCCAGCTTTTAATTCCCACCTTATTTCGATGTAACAATTCAAGCAGTGTGTTGTATTTATGTAGCTAATGATTTGCTACAGGTCTCACCACACAAGTAAATTTACTGGTCTGGACATTATCAACATACATGTATAGGGAATTAGTGAAAGGACAGTGTTTCCGCCAGAGCGCGCCATCGCAGGAATCCCGTCTTAAATCAGAGATGGCCCCCAGAAAAACGAAAAAAGGGCCAATTTGACCCTTTCCTTTTACGAGACTGCAGGCTTAACACAGGCATAATATTTCAAAAGCGACCCAGGGCTCGAAATTGTGATCCATACGGTCGCCAATGCAACAAGCATTTCATCCTTGGCGACCAAAAATTTTGGTTTAGTCGCCATAATACGGCATAATGGCGACTACATTTCTCTGTGTTGACGATCAATAACGGTTATTTTTGTCGCACATTATGTCCTTCTAGAAAATCATATTGAAAGATCTTTGCTTCTAAAACATTCAACATAAGAAAAGGAGTCAATCCGTCCATTTCCTTTGCTGTATTAATTCTCTCACATCGGAAAACTTCCAAATGGCTGACCGTGTTTGAAATGGTTATTACTTAGTGTTACGGATCACGAATATATGCAAATTATATGTAAGTTAATCACGAATATATGTAGTAATGATTAATCGTGAATCATGGTTTCATAGGTTTCATGGTTTCATAGGTTTCGCGGTTTCATAGGTTTCATGGTTTCATAGGTTTCATGGTTTCATAGGTTTCATGGTTTCATAGGTTTCGTGGTTTCATAGGTTTCATGGTTTCATAGGTTTCATGGTTTCATAGGTTTCGCGGTTTCTTAAGTTTCATGGTTTAATAGGTTTTATTTTTTCATAGGTTTCATGGTTTCACAGGTTTCGTGGTTTCATAGGTTTCGCAGTTTCATAAGTTTCATGGTTTCATAGGGTTCATAGGTTTCATGGTTTCATAGGTTTCATGGTTTCATATAGTTTCATACTAGTATCTGATTCAAATTATAACTCCAGACATAAAGTCAATCTTAGACTCCCCTGCGTTAGAACGAATTGGGGAAAACAAAGAACTGCCTATCACGCTGTTAATGATTTTAATTCTCTTAGCCAGATAATACGAGACTCTGCTAATGTAAATATTTTTAAGAGACAGGTTTTTAATTTTTTAACTTAAGTGTTTTACAAATTTCATATTTTTAGTTCTATTAATTAGTATTAATCTTTGAGGTCCTTTTCGAAAACCACATGTNATAATACGAGACTCTGCTAATGTAAATATTTTTAAGGGACAGGTGTTTAATTTTTTAACTTAAGTGTTTTATAAATTTCATATTTTTAGTTCTATTAATTAGTATTAATCTTTGAGGTCCCTTTCGAAAACCACATATACGTGAAAAAATTTCCTCAATAAAGATTATTATTATTATATCTGGCGAACTCAAAATCCAACCAAAAGACCAAACATGGATGCTAATAAACTGGCAAACACCAGACGGGACATCATGAACAAGAAAAAGACTGACAGACATGGAAATTCAAGCCATCAAAGACAATGTGACTGACAAGACAGACTGTACCGAGAACAATATCCGTCATGAAGGCAATCCCCTCTGCAGTAGCTGTGGAAGATAATGCCCCCGTGGCGAGTGACGAGGTAACTGTCCACAATGATAAAGAACAACTAAATGATCCCAACGTGCCGGAGACCCCTCAACAGACCAATGATGGAGATGAAGCTGCAATGACGGAAGAAATTCTGAGGAAGTGGGAGATTGTGAAAGATACAAACATAACTGAACGACCACCTATATCAAAAATCAAGCATACAAGACAGGCAAAGGAAGTCTTAGAAACAGCAAATAAGGCCATCAATCTAATTAAGGCCAAAAAGGGCAAAAACTGTCTCTTACCGAAGTGAATGAACTATGCTACACTTCTGCCTCAGTAGTCTGTGATACCCTAGGCATCAAAGTAAGATCAAAAACTTAAAGAAACCAAAAGTGCCTATGTGGAAAAGACGAATCGAGAAAGACATCCAAAAAATACGTGAAGAGATCTCAATCCTAGCTGAAATCCTCCAAGGAAGACGTGCTAAGGAGAAGAAAAGAAGAGCTCTTATGAGAAAATATAAGTTCAAATCCAACGACGACATCCCACCTGTCACGGAAAAACTGAAACAACAGCTATTAGCTAAATCCCAGAGAATAAGGCGCATTGAGAAAAGACGTAAGTTTTACTCCCAGAACAAAATGTTCAAAGAAAACACCAAAAGATTCCATCGTGAACTTGGGAAAAAGACCATCGAAATCTCCGAGCCACCCGGGAAAGAAGCTCTTGAGAACTTCTGGGCNCTGCCTCAGCAGTCTGTGACAACCTAGGCATCAAAGTAAGATCAAAAACTCAAAAGAAACCAAAAGTGCCTATGTGGAAAGACGAATCGAGAAAGACATCCAAAAAATACGTGGAGAAATCTCAATCCTAGCTGGAATCCTCCGAGGAAGACGTGTTAAGGAGAAGAAAAGAAGAGCTCTCATGAGAAAATATAAGTTAAAATCCAACGACGACATCCCACCTGTCACGGAAAAACTGAAACAACAGCTATTAGCTAAATCCCAGAGAATAAGGCGCTTTGAGAAAGGAGGAAAGTTTTACTCCCAGAACAAAATGTTCGAAGAAAGCATTAAAAGATTCTATCGTGTACTTGGGAAAAAGACCATCGAACTCTCCGAGCCACCCGGGAAAGAAGCTCTTGAGAACTTCTGGGCTAATATCTGGGAGGAAGAAAAGCGTCACAATGAGAGAGCAGAGTGGATAAAACAAATAGAGAATGAAACCCAACAAACGCCCACTCAGGAATGGCGGGAAATATCCACTGCTGAAACAACATCTGCTATCAAAAAATCCAACAACTGGAAAGCTCCTGGGATTGATGGAATAGCAAACTTCTGGATTAAACATCTGACAGCCTTACACGAAGATCTGACTAATGCCTACAACATCTGCATCGAAAACCCAGAGGAACGCCCAAACTGGCTAACAACTGGTATCACTTACCTCCTTCCAAAAACCGAGGACACGGCAAACTCCAAATACTACAGGCCCATCACTTGTCTTCCTGCAATGTACAAGATCTTAACATCAATCGTGTCAGCTAGATGTTATAGCCATCTTGTGAATTAGAACTTACTACCATCCGAACAAAACGGTTGCAGAAAAGGGAGCTACGGCTGTAAGGACCAACTCCTCATCAACAAAGCTATATTGGAAGATATGAAGACGAAAAAGACAATCCTCAGTACAGCTTGGGTGGATTACAAGAAAGCTTTTGACTCCGTTCCCCACAGCTGGATATTAAAATGTCTTGAAATCTACAAGATATCACCAAAAATGAAAGATTTCATCAAAGCAAGTATGACCAAATGGAAAACAACCCTCACGCTTAACTATAACAAGGAAACAATATCTTCTCGTGAAATAAAAATAAACAGCGTTATCATTCAAGGAGATTCCCTCTCACCTCTTCTTATCTGCATAGCTTTAACACCTTTATCCTCTCTCTTGAATGAAAGTAACTACGGATACAAAATAAGCAACGCAAACATCACTCACCTGTTCTACATGGGCGATCTGAAAACCTATGCCAAATCTGATGAAGACCAGAAAGGCCTACTTAAAATTATCAAAGTCTTCAGTGATGATATACGAATGGAATTTGGGCTTGACAAATGCGCCAAAGCTACATTCAAACGAGGCAAACTGGCGAAAACCGAAAACATCGAACTCGATTTTGGCACCACCATAGAAGACCTCGAGCGGGAAGGCACCTACAAATACCTTGGTGTGAATGAAGGAGATGGGATCCAACATGCAAAGATGAAAGAGAAATTATCCTGGTGCATTTTTTCCTTCTGTAGCTTTCAATTTATTGGCCCCTTTCCTAAAACATTGGCCCCTAAAAAAGGATCATCAGGGGCCACTTTGGCCCTCAAGTAAAATTTTCTGGCTGAAACACTGAAGGATGAATTTCTGTTTAATAAAGGTGGAAGTTATAGAGGGCTTTTTAAATCAATTGTAAAAAAGAAGAAATTCCTGAGGGGGTTTTATTTGATTATGGAATTAAGAAGGCAAAGGGAGGGGGGGTTCAGTATTTTAGAATTTCTAAAGCCAGGGGGTAGGTTAAACGAAGTTTTCACCCTAGATAGGGTATGGACGTTTTCTGACATCAGCCAATTGTTCCCACTACCATCCATGGTGTTCATGTGACTGCTGTTCTGTATGTCTATTAAAAGCATTTGTTAATATCATGCAGCTTCAGTAAGTAGCAGAAAGAAACTTTGCACTACATGTAGGTTCATTTGTATAGCAGCTTCTAAGCACCATTCAGTGAATTGGCAAAACAAATACTGTCATGAGCTTACTAAATTTATATGAAAATAAACAATAAAAATACCTACCCATCCATGATCATTGCATCCAGCGTTGTTTCTCCATCTTCATTAGGACTATAAAAGAAGCAAAGATTCTCTTAACTTACCATGTACAACACTTATGAGTAAGAAAACAAAAATATTAGAATTAAAGATAAAATGTGTGGCATCGGGGAAACAGGGAGACCTATGCAGGAGAGGATCAAAGAACACGACAGGGATACACGACTCGTCCGTACCCAGACCTCCGCCATTTCTGAACACACCCACGAGACCGGCCACTATCCGATTTGAAACGAGGTCAAGTTTACTGATTGAGATCCTCATTGGTACACACGTAAGGTCAAGGAAGCTATCCACATAAAAATTCACCCTAATAACATTAACAGGGATAGTGGAATTAAAATTTCTGAAGCATGGATGTCCACAATCAAAAAACACAACAGGAAAACAGTACAACAGCGGACCACTAAGGGAGCAGCTACTCGCCAAAACAGTGGGAGAATCCAAATGCACCAGTCACAGCCACCCTTTGTGATATAAATGGTGCCATGTAATCAGTCGACCTCAACGCCTGAAGAAGAGTAGTAGTAAGCAGTTGAAACGTTGTGATCTACATCTCAATCGACTACATCGAGAGACTAACAATAATACACTTTATTATTCCATCTACCACGATGAACAACAACAACCATTTCCTCGACAAAATGTTTATTTTTCAATTAGAAAAGAGCTAAAATTAGAGAAAATCCAAAGAGCGCTTTAAGCCTACTTCATGCCTAATGTCAATCGCTTTATAGACTTTTTCCTTTACCTTCTTCACTTTGAGTGTGGTCAGCAGTTTTAACTTCTTCACTAACTATTTAGATGCCATTTTTCAACTCGGGGATTGTGTAAGCAATCTAAGGGTTTTAGTTGTGGTGAGAATCATGCAAATGATATGCAAGTGATGTCCATCCATCATCCGTAAAGTTTTTGGAGTAATTCTGCTGACCAGTAGATAAAGCTTTTCAAATCACTGTATTGGTCAACATTGCAGGTGCATATGTTGTTTTACATTTCTCAGGGTCAAGGTATTACGTGACTGCAATTGTTGCACTAAAATGGAAACTTGATTTGTTTGCTTTCTGGGTATAGGTCATTTGACATTTCTATTTACAATTCTACTCTTAAATTACCAGTTAACTAAATAAGACCAAATGTTGGCTTTTGTAATACGCATTGGGAACGTTTTCACCTTATATTTGTGGCAGTGCATGTGTGATCTATTTTGACTGTTTGGAATTCAGTGCTAGCGCTGATAAAAATGGGAATTCCTGATACAGAGATGTTCTTTTCCATAGACGTTTTCCTGGGCAATGGTTTCTTGCGTCGGGCTGGCCTTTGGAGCAGAAAACTCCAAAGGTTGAAATCTTGAGGCATTCCAAGCCAAATTTGATGACATTGTTCACGAGACAGAGTTGAAATTTTGGAAGCTGCTATTGAAAATTTCTACTCCGTCAAGCAATGGGAATTGCTGATACACAGATGTTATTATTGTTGAGAATTTTTTGTGGGCAATAGTTTATTATGTCAGGCTGGCCTTGGGATCAGAAAATTGCACACTCAAGGTAAAAATCTCAAGGCATTGATGACAGAGGTGAAGTTGCTGGAAGCTACTATTAATTTCCGGTCCCAAGTAGATCAACAAGAGGCAATCCGCTCTACATATGATTATCAATGGTGGTGGGTTGAGCTCCTGAAATATTATATTTTGGAAACCAAAGCGAACAGTTCTGTTGAGACCACCATAATTATCATTTGTTGAAAAAGTCTCTCAGAACTCTCATGGTGTCAAAGAGTCTGAACTTCAGTGGTTCAACAGTTACCTCTCTGAGAGATCAGTGTGTCGTCTTCAAGGACACTATTTCAGCTCTGTTGCGTCTCTCTTTTGGTGTCCCGCAGGGGTCGTTTTTAGGACCAACATTATTTCAGGACCAACGTTATTTAACCCTGAATTTAGGTATTTGTAAATTATTTGATTATTCTTTTTATCGTTATTGTATATATTATTTTAGCTTTATGACAATTGTATTGTAAATTTCTGTTTCTCTTATTTAGATTTAGTAGTTGTAGGTCCACATCAGCTGTACAGTTGCTTATTTTAAACCTACTTATCAAATAAACGTATGTATGTATGTAATATCCACATTAATAATATATCAAAGGCATGCCATACTTCCAATGTCTCGTTATACCCAGACGACACCGAGATGCATTCCAGTTCTAAGGACATTGATTTAGCTCAGCACAATGTCAA